TAAGGATTGATTAAAATTTTAATTTTGCAATAACAATCTGCGCTCTTTTTTCCTGGTATAACATCTAAAATATGGTCTGAGTCAACATATGTAGTTAGTTTTACCTAGTTTCATTACTCATTTTATTTCTCAATAAGATTTTCACTGTGGAATTATTGTTGTAATCGGGATTGTTGTCAATGTTTAAATAAATTAAGATTTACTAATAATAAATTAATTCGAAAGAAATTTAATTAATAATATACAATGAAAAAATTGCCTCAGTTTGGGCTCAAATTGGAAACCTATCCCTTCTCTTTATTATTCTCGCAATTATTTCATCGTATTTCCATCTAGTTCGATATATTCAAGCATTGTTTATTTTTTGAATAGTTTTGATTTGATTAAAAATTATTTTTTTTATACGTAGTTTAATAATTCTTTTATAGTGAGTGATTTCAAATTATTAATAGAAACACTTATTGTTAAAAGATTTCTGGGTCTGTCTGGATCTCCTGGACAGCCTCTCATCGCTACGTCACTGTCCCAACTAGAAAAAAACAGACGTTTAATTTTTTGTCTCTTTAGAGAAGAAGCTAGTAAATAATAATATTGAAAATTATATAAAATAAAGTAGATGTTAAATTATACTGTTACTTTTTTGTGTGGAAATAGTATCTGGACTTTGCAATTGGAGGACATTTGAACGAAATTGTTTGAAAGCTAAAATAATTCATGTACACAATTAATAGAGTACGCGTAGTACACGTAGTAATATGAAAATAAATAAAACTAAAACAAAAATGGTAGTTTGCAAGGGAAAAAAAAGTATGGAAAGAGCGAATATAAAGATAGGAGACGAAAAATTGGAAGAAGTGACTGATTTTAGGTATGTATCTAGAAAGTCAGATAAATCAGGACAGAAAGAGTAGTAGGAATATAAAGCAGAGAATAGCGCAGGGTTGAGTCGCCTTCAATAAAAAGAAGTCATTTCTATGCTCGCAAATGATTAATTTAGAAATTCGAAAAAGATTGTTAAAGGTGTATGTTTGGAGCGCGTTGCTATACGGGTCTGAAACATGAACAGTGGTCGCAGCGGAAAAGAAAAGGTTAGAAGCGTTCGAAATGTGGTGCTATAGGCGAATGATGAGGATACCATTGATAGATAAGGTTAGAAATGAAGAGATATTAGAAAGAATAGGAGAACAGAGAACTCTGTGGAAGTCAATATGAAATAGGCGAGATAGGTTGATAGGACACCTTCTCAGGCATGAACGTCTAGTCGGAGACATATTAGAGGCAGAAACAGGAGTTAGAAGGGGTAGAGGTAGGCCTAGATTAAATAGTTAAGTATGTGGGTTGTTCTAGTTTTAGGGAAATGCGAAGATTAGCTCAGGATAGGAAAGAGTGGAGATGCGTGTCTAACCAGTCTTAGGACTGACGACCTTACAATGATGACACAATTAGTTACATGTTTTATAATTTTGTTGTGGATTGAAAGGGATTTGTAATAATAAAATGAGATATTATTGGGAGAAAAAATTATATATATACATATAAATGATACATATTTGGAAAACAATAATTTATTAAGGTTTCTTAAGGGATTACGGGAGAAAATTTATACATACCTAAATTAACAGAAACAAAAATTGTTGCACATAAGTTACTGACGTTTCACCGTCAGTGTTAACAGAAGAAATGGAAATGCAAATTTTACTACATTTTGAAGAAAATCTTTGCGATTCGACGAGAAATTGCGCAAGAAATAATGAAATTTTCCGGGCGTTAGTTATAAAAACTCTGAAGAAATGTAAGCGATAGCCTTATAGTATACTGCCAGTGCAAAAATTTTTACGTATAGACTTTAACTTACGGATACAATTTTGTCAGCAAATTGTCTGTAGGCAAAGATATGAATTAATTTTTCGAATGGATCAGCCATCATTTACAACGGTAGGGTGTTTCAGTAAACAGAAACTGCTCTATTGGTGATTGGAAATCCCGGTTAATATAAGGAAATTCAATTTCAAAGAGATTCTCATTAAGGTAAAAAAAAAGTAAATTTCATATTAAATAACCGTGTATTCTTTACTACTTTTTATTTATTGTAAGGTTTGGTGAGGAATAATTAACAATAGAGTTATTGAAACTCTCTGTTTTGAAAACTTCTTAGATCTTCCATTAAGAATTCATAGAAACATAATAAAGCAACAAGACGGTACTCCATGTCATAAAGCGTGTAATTATTTAAACGACAATTACGAAGAGTGGATCAAATAACATGGACCAATTGTGTGATCACCGAAAAGTCCCTATCTAGCCACTTTAGATTACCTTTTGTGGTCATATTTAAAAAATAAAATTTACGTAGAGAATAGGATAACGTTCGTTATCTAAATGGTAATCCCCAAATATTAAATATTGTCATCAAAAATTTAATTTAACAGATACCAGACGTAAATTGCACGAAGGAACGATTATATAGAAAATTTTTTAGCCTTTCTCTGTCATTTAGAATTTAATATTAGTTCGTAAATAATAAGTTTTAATAAAAATTAAATATTTTTACATTAGTAATTATCAGTACTACTTGTTTTAGTTGACGGTCAGGTTTTTTTTATACTTTTTCAAGGCCTATAACTATATACCTACTACTTCCATGTAAGAAAGCCATGATATAATTTAGCATCTGATTTATTTTTACAATTTTCAACATTATTATTTATCTGAACATATTATATATATTCGAAATCAGAAAATGGATGGAATTTCAAATATCTGAAAATATACTGGGTGTTCCATTTAAAAGAACGTATGTTTGAGCACTCTATATACTAACAGGTTTATAAAAATTCTAGTATCACACATGAAATCATTACAAAGCCAATGAATGTATTCATTCATATATAAAAAGGAAAAATGTCGAAAAATAGTTAAAATAAAATTGATTCAGTTGTAAAAAAATAATTTAGTTCGTATTTGTACAAATGCATTTGTTACCATAACCAAAGTGCAGATTATTAATATTTACCATCCTTTAGATCATTCTTAAAATGTGCCTTTACGATTGTATTATTCGTTTACGTGAAATAACGCCGTCAATAATTGCTGAATTTAGGTTTAATGATTTTTTTAAAATATTGAAAGGCAAATTTGATAGATTTATTAGCATCCAAAAGTTTAGAGAATCATAATTGTCTAGTTAGATAACGAAATTAATCGTGTTAATTGCATAAAAATCATTTATTTATGTGTACATTTCATATTGTATTCAATTTAATTTTTTCAGAAATCAAGCAGAAATGGCGCATACGTGTAGGGGAAGTATATCATTACATGGGGCTCTTATTCATACAGTAGACGCGTGTACTTTTGTCATTTCTAATGGAGGCACTCAAACTTTTCATATTAAGGCCTCAAGTGAGGTGGAAAGACAATCCTGGGTTACTGCACTTGAATTGGCTAAAGCAAAAGCAATGTAAGTATTTTTCGGAAGTTCTCAGTCTAAATGTAGTACTTTAATCAGGTATGGTATGTTCACCTAATCTTTCATCTAAGTCCCCTTTGACTGTGGATTTCGACACTTCCAAAATCATAATAATTTTTTCATATTTATATGAATAGACAGAAGATACAATTTCAAAAGCCGAAAGTCAAATTAGATTTTCTTTTATTCGTATTTTCCTATAGTTAAGCGAAATTCTCCAAATAAAGATGCATGTTTTATATTAGAAAACTGTCGGTATTGAAAACACCGTTGTTTCAGAAGGAACATGGAATCCGAAGAAGAAGAAGAGCAAGCAGATGAAAATGCTGGTTCGCCTGAAGAATGGTCCGGTGTTGTTAGGGACTTGCAAAATAGGTTAGGGGACTTACAAACTTGCGCTGATTTGATTGGTAAACATGCAGCAGCATTGCAGCGTTCGTTAACTGAATTAGAAACCACATCTGAGCCTGATAATATAATGAGTATGGCTAAAATTGTTAATGAACGGTCTACGTTATTTAAAATAGCTAGTAATGCCATGATGAAGGTTAGTTTTATTCCTTAGTTCCCATATTTTAAAAATGGTTAAAAAAAGGCTAAAGTGTATTCAAAACCAAGAGTCACCAACTTAAACGAATGCACGAAGCATGCACGTGTAAATTAACCAATTGGAGCGTATGTATGTTTCATTCGGCTTCTGTATGGTAGGATAGTCTATGATGGTACGATGTGATCACGCGCTGTGCATTTGTGTACGTTGGTGACTCTTGGTTGTGAATACACTAGTTTTCAATCGAAAATTGTTTTCATAACAATTTTACTTGTCTCCTTTTTCTCATTTTTTTTTCGTAAGAGTATCCTCAAGAGTTGAACTGTTAATCTTAGGCTGTAACCTAGAAAGATTATGCTTGAATTTGCCTGTGAAAACCAAAATGTATTTCACAGCTGGTGCAATGTAAATTCAAAATTAAAGTTTTTTTTAATTTTACAGGCGTGCTCGGAGTATTTGCAAACAGCTCAAACTCAGGGGCACAAATGGACGAGATTGTTGCAACATGAAAGAGAACAAAGGCAGAGATTACAAGAGATGGTAGAAACATTAGCACAACAGCACTCTAAGCTTGAAGCGGCAGCCAATGCCCACGCTCATCGACCTAGTAAGTTAATAATTTTGTCTAAAACTTGATATTTAATTATTATAGTAATTATGTGTTATCTGTTCATTGATTGCATTTTTTTGAACGATATATGTATTTATCATGAGGCGATTAAAATAGCCATTGGCCCAATATGCAGAACAGCACGGTTAGTTTTATCAAGGGATGTAAACTACCAAACGAATATGCCTTGTAAAATGTTAATTAGTACCATTAGAATTGACGGTAGCCTCACGATTTAACTGCATCTTTTTGTCGAACCCACATTTGTTGTATCGTGCTACCTCATTTATATGTTTAATGTTATAAGTTAAAATCTTGCCATTCTCCACTATTGCATAGATCGATTTTATCCAGCGCGTATGATTTTTCCAATTTCTGTGAATTATTCTTTATTTTTTCCACTTTATTTCAACGTTTAAGTGTAAAGGCGATTTTTTATTTTTCTATAAAGCTTATAGTGTACATATATTCAAAGATCGAAACTCCATCGCTCCTTCAATCCTCAGATCTCACAAAAACACTTGGTCAAAGCTCAAATCATTTTATATTTAAATTTTTTGCCTAACCTGTTAGATGCCGAAACCTATTTTAGATTAGGTTAAATTCGGACTGGTTAAAGTTTTTCAAATATTCTTTTATTAAATAGAATTGGTCAAATTGAAGAAATTCAGGATAAACACGTCATTTTGCCAGTGCCGCCTTTGCCCTTTAATTTTGGGATAACGCCCCTTGTTAGGCCGACGTTGTCAAAGTTTAAAAAGAAAATTTAATAAACTAACTGTATCCGAGCAAATTAGAACGGTTTATAACATAAACGTAGTGTATTGAGCACGAAAACTATGGTTCTTTGTAATCCAATCAATAGGGGCGCGAATAGTTAACAAATTTTAATTTTGAATTTTCTCAAAATATATAATGTGGATATCCATATTTTCAAGTACCCTGAACCAGAATATAAAGTCTTCAGTATACTCATATACCGTTTATGGCGTTGAAAGGCATTTATCTATATAATATAAAAATTATTTATTGGAAAAGAAAACATTAAATTTGAATTCATTTTTAACGATGAATATTTTTTTCAATGTTTAGATTTGGATTATTTCGGGTTCATTTGGGATGCCTCATTCAATCGGATTCTCCAGATTTTGTGGCAAGGCATCTTCATTTTCAGACATTTCAATATTCTGTGTCGAAAGTTTCATGTACAATGGAATTTTTGCAGACTATCATGCTGGCATCCATAAAGTTCGTCTTCATACTCACTCATTAATGATGTCTAACGGCTATCTTAGGTGTCGGTAGTTAAATTTCTTTAGGTAAAACTGACCTTAAAATAATTCTACCGTCAAAGTCTGTTTACAAAATAGTAGTGGGGCTGCGGTCGTCTAGGTGATCAACGACCACACTTTCAAACGAACTTTTCTAATTTCATACAAAATAGTATGTACCGATTATCAAAATATCCTAGGACACCCAGTACATTACCAACCGACGCCAGGCTACACTTGCTTACGACGTATTACTCTTTATTTAAATGAATTTCAGTACAAAAATCACTAAGGTCTTTGATATTGGTACCTATATTATTTTTATATCTAACTTATAATTTAAAATGAAAAGCATGTTGTAAGTAAAACTTTGATACCATAAAAGCAGACCCAATTTTTTCAAGCCAGAAGGAAATTGAACAAAAAGTATATATTTTTTGAAGACCCATTTCTTCATAAATTTGAAAAAGTAATTTTGCTTTTAGAGGTAAAGTAGAAAGAAAATGCAATGCAATGAAACATATTTATAGAAAAATTTATAAAAACAACAATAGGCCTGGGAATAAAGCATTAAAAGTAATCATTTTTTCAATAATTAATAAAAGGAAACGAACTATGCAGGTTTGTAGAAAACGATCCAGAAAACAAAATGTGCTAAATTAAAACACTAAATTATTTGTCAAAAAAGAAATGGCGTCTAAAAAACCCCAGAAAACGTAAAAATTTTTGTTTTTCGATCTACGTCGAAAACTATGAATTAATTTAGATTTACTACAATACAAAGGTTGGAGAAAATTAAAATATATATTTATAGTATAGTTTCTATTGTGCTGGAGATGATAGCTGTAAATGTATTTATCATGTGGCTGAAAACTGGATTCTGATGCTTATATTTTTTGTGTAAAAGCTAATTGAAATTAAATTGAAATTTTAAGTGCTTATCTTCAAAGGCTCATCCTAGTCCAATGGAAATTCGCAAAAGGGATATGGAAACTAAACGATTATCTAAAAATCGTATCATTCAATTTTTCGTTATAATGCCGCTAAAAGTGTTTAAATGGTGTTTAAAAATTGAATGTTTCCTTCGAAATTGCACTGAATGAAACCGCATAAGTGTTGAAGTAGTGGGTGAACTGCGTCACATTCAACTTGAAAAAAAAAAAAGAATTATACGATTTTTAAATAATTGTTTAAAGTTTCCATATCCCTGATGCAAATTTCGAGTGGATTCGATTTAAAGGAAGGCCGGCTTTTGAAGATATGCCTTTTAAATTTCAATACAATTTCAATTAGCTATTTCACAGAATCCAGTTTTCAGCCACATAATAAATACATTTATAGCTATATATATCTCCAGCAAAAGAGAAACTAAAACTTCAAAATTAAGAACGTTGTGATATTTTGCATTTTTCTTGGTCAAACAAGGTCGAATAATGTTCGTTTGCAACCCATATTGAAGATATTTTAATTTTCTACAACTTTTGCATTGTAGTCAATGCAAAATAGTCCATAGTTTTTGAAGTAGTTCGAAAAAACGATATTTTTTGCGTTTTCTGCGGTTTTTAGGAGCCATTTTATTTCGACAAATAATTGAGTGTTATAATTTAGTACATTTTGTTCACTGATTCGTTTTCTACAATCCGGCATAGTTCGTTTCCTGTTATTAATTATCGCATTTTGATTAGCCCTATTCCCTGACCTACAAATAAAAGTACTGACGATCACTTGTTAATTTATCTCTTCATATAAATTTTCATCAAGTAACAACCAAATCAATTAACTAAACTTACATAAAAAGTGAATTTCTTAATTTACCTATATTTTCAAACTCAAAAATTCACATCGACATGAAATATATAGAGCAATAGTCATAACCATTTAAAAAATATATTTTGAATTCGAAATACTTTATTAGCTCGATAGAGATAAAAACATTAAAAGGTTTTAAAACAATATTGAAGATATAGGCACTTGCCAGCTAGTAACTAGTTAATTAAATGTAGATGAGGGAATTATTTATTTCTTCCCTTCCGTAGTTTTTTACAAACAGTACTTTATTAAGTTTATTAAACTGCAGTCGTTACTTTTGATTCAATAAACCTTAAATAAAAAAGACTCGCTCGAAATCAACACAAAAGG